TTTTTTTTTCTTTTCTTTTTTTCTTTTTTTTTTTTTAAATAGACTGGCATTGAATGTATCTAACTGCAGATGGCAAGACCTATTAGAGTGGGAAAGGTTTGAGTAGAAGGCTCTCATAATTAAAAAAAAAAATTATTTTATTTATTTATAATTTGATCAGAAAGGGACAGAGCAAGAGTGAGACAGAGAGAGAGAGAAAGTGAGAAAGCAAGCCACCAGGTCTGGGACTCTTAACACAGTCGGCTGTGTGGGTGTCCCGTGTCCTTAATCACCATGCCATTTGCTGCCCCAGAAGGCTCTCATAATTGTGGAAAATTGGGAAAGGTTGCCAACCGAGGAGAATGGTAAGATCGGTTACCAGCCTTGAGAGGCTGAATAGTTTGGTAACATTGAATTGATATGATACTTACTTCTTGATTATGAAACTCCTTTTTCTCCTCCCTTCAGGCCTTCTATAGGCCCTGAGAGCCAAATAGTTGGATTTGTCCAGGGTTGATACTTGGCCAGGTAAGTTGGACTGAACAACTATGCAAGGGAGTTTAGGATTTTGGAAGGAGAGTGACTGAAATGATAAGATTACATTTGCTAGACTCAATAGGAAGGGAAGGGAAGTCATGGAGGAACGGAGCTAATGAGAAAGTAGAAGTGTCAGTGGTTCAGGGTTTCCAGTGAGGGCGAAACACAAGTATGGTATTTTTATAATTCCTTTTTATTATCACTGTTGGCTTATTAGTATATAACCTCTTGTTTTTGTTTTATTTAGTGGCTGCTCTAGGTTTTACAGTAGGCGTCTTTAACTTATGGTTGTCCAGTTAAATGGATTTATATACATCATCTATAATGTGAGAAATACGCAAGAGTATTTCTCCATTTCTTCTTCTCATCTTTTGTGCTATTCTTGTCATACATTTTACTTCTACATGTGTTTAAAAGTCTACTGTACATTTCTTGGGGACCAGCAGTTAGGTAATGGCTGTGTCGCTGGAGTTCCATGTAGTTGACCGCAGTTCGCATCCCGGACCCGGTGGCTTAAAACTCACGCCGGGCGCATGTGCGTGTGTGCCCAAGATCCTGAGAGGAGAATGGAGGAGAAGGGATTGCAGTGTGACTATCCCTCCTGGGGGGTGATTTCTCGCTTTCTGTCTCTCTGTCTCTCTCTGTCTGGCGAGCGCACGCGCCCTATAGCAGAAACCTCTCCAAAAAAAAAAAAAGTCTACTGTACATTTCTTTTAACAGTCAGTTATCTTAAAGAGATTATAATTTAAAAAAAAAAAAAGGCCACTTTAATTTTTTTTAAAGAATTATTTTATTTAACTTTATTTATTTTTTTAATTTAACCAGGGAGAGAGAGAGAGACAGAGAGACAGAGAAAGCAAGCCTCCAGGTCCTGGATTTGAACCGCGGTTGGCCATGTGGGAGTCCAGCGTCCTTAACCACCACACCACCTGCCGGCCCACTTTAATGTTTTTGTACAGTTTAATAATCTTTTGATGACTGCAGACATGTAAGACCGGCTATATTCAGAAACATTACAATCATGGTGGTTTCCCAGATTGGTGTATCATCTTCAAAAAGGAATTACTTGTATACAACTGCTATCAAACCAGCAAGACAGCATTTACGCATCCATCATTTTCAGGATTGTTGGTAACTTGGGCATATTTCCCCCAAATAACCTTGTTTCCTTGTATCACAAGGCCCAACTCGCTCACGTTCACCTCAGTGACTGTACCTTTGGTGATAACACCCAAAGTTGTGTATAGTGGGGATGAGGGATTCTTCTTTACACCAAGTATTGGCAGGCAAAAGGTGGCTTTCAGTTCAGGATGTGTTCTGTGGGCTTTCTTGAAATGTAAGCCCATTGGCCTAATGAATCTTTCATATTTAGGTGGTTTTCTAGTAAAGCCATTTCCAACAGAGCAGTCTTCTGTAATCATCCTTTTCCATGCCTCCTCCTTTCTCTTTCCTGTTCACATAACTTTTAATACTTCCATTTCTCCCTGGGCTTGAACTTTGGGTAGAGAGACTTCCCATTTTCCCTCTTTCTCTTCTCATTTTTGTTTAATCATATTGGAAAGTACTTTAGCTCAGGACCTTCCTTCTCTGTCCACCAGATAGATACTGCTCCTTGTGGAGTCTTTTGTCATTCTTCTGTTTGGTGTTCCTCTTTACATGCATCTTGATAGTCTTTTTTCATTTGTATTTTCTCAGCATGGAGATATTTCTGATAGAGCTTAGCCTTCAGACCAATCATCTTTGTTGCCATTTTTGAACGTTCATGAGCCTCTTTGTATCTTTTTCATGGTAACCTCTACGGTATCCATAGTGTTTACGATGTAATTCAATATATTCTGTGACAGCTGCAGAGTTGCCGGGAGCAGCCTCCTGGATACACAAAAGTGGTCAATTTTCAGGACTCAGAGGAGATTATAATTTTTAAAATATCATATTTATCTTCATTTCTACCATTTCTGTTATTCTTCCTTCTTCATTCTCCATTCTCTATTCTCTAAAATACATTTAGATTAGTATTGGTGTCATTTTTTTTTATCCTGCCTGAAAAACTTCCTTTAATATTTCTTGTAATGTAGGTTTGCTAATTTTTTGTTTGTTTGTTTGTTTGTTTGTTTTGCCAGAGGGCACATGTGCTCACTGAAGTGAGACAGAGAGAGACAGAGGAAAGTGAGAAATCATCTCTCAGGGGGATGACCATGCCTCTGTCTCTTCTCATCCACTCCCTCCTGGGATTTCAGATATCCACGCATATGTGCTTAGTGTGATTTCTCAAGCCACCAGGTCCTAGGCTCAAATTATGGTCAGCCACTTGTGAGTCAAGAGCCCTAACTACCATGCCACCTGCTGGCCCGAATTGCTCGTGGTTTTTTGTTTTTGTTTTTTTTCCCAGTACTTCAAAAGATGTTGGTGTATTGTCTTTTGGCTTAATTTCTAATAAGAAAACTGCTGTAATTTTTAATCTTTATTCCTCTCTTCATACATTTTCCATTTCTGGCTTCTGAAACTTTATTAACGATTTTCAGCAAGTGATTATGATATGATTAATATGGGTGGTTTTCTTTGTGCTTTGTTTTTGTTTGTTGTTTTACTTGGGATTTGTTGGGCCACTTAGATTTGTGGGTTTATAGTTTTCATCAGATTTTGGAAATTATTTTCTATTATTTTTCAGAATAAATGTTTTTATAGAGAGATTTTTTGCTATAAGGTGCATGCACTTGCCAGAGAGATAGAGAGACAGAAAGCAAGAAATCACTCCCCAGGGTGGATGGCCACACCTCAATCCCTTCTCCATTTTCATCTAGGATCTTGGGCACATATGTACACGTGTATGGCATGAGTTCAAGCCACTGGATCCTAGACTCGAACCACGGTCAGCTAGACAGGCGTCCAGTGTCATAACCATTGTGCCATCTGCTGGTCCCCAAAAAGATTTTTGATGGAAAAATCTGATACCTGCCAACCTCTCCTGGGGCTCTGTTGGCGTGGATCTAAACCAGGTTTTATTCTATATCTCCAGTGGTAAGGTGATGCTGTTTTAGATTGAAGATTCTTCCCTTTGTCTCATTTATGGCTAGGTCTCACCTCTGGCCAGTGGTATCCCAAACTATTCCCAGCCTATTGTGAGCTCCAGGAACTGTTTTCTGTAGTTTCTGGTAGTTCTAATTCCCTATCCCTGTGGCCTTTTACCCTAGCCATGTGTAGATGCATATGCAACCAAAGATTCTTGGTTGCATACAGATCTACTCCCTGCAGGTCTCTAGACCTCTGTGGCTGTGTGGATTCCTTTACACTATTGTTGCCCTAGGCTCCAGCTCTGATTTCTGCCTCAAACTTAGCAAGAGCACTGGGCTTCTTTTGGACTTTGCCTCCTTGTAGACTGGAAACTGCTTCCATGGCAGTGAAGTGGCCAGTTGTAGGGCCCAGCTTATCATTTGTCTTCTCTCTGGGCTTATAGTTCTCTACTGGTTCTTGTCTAGTGTCTGTAAATAAGTGTTTAGCATATGTTATCCTCATTTTTAGTTTTTCATGGGGGGGCAGTTCCCATAGCAGTTAATTTTTTTACGGGCTAAAGTAGAAGTCAGAGTTGGAGTAGTTTTAGAAAGAATAGGCTGCAATCAGAGGTCACTGAATTTGGGACTTCATAGGTGGTATTTTTTTTTTTATAATGATCAGGAATGGAATGTGAAAGATCAGTGAAAAGGTAAACAGTCAGTGGTCTGAGATGGTAGAATTTTAGGTGGTCATCCCATAGAGTTTTTCTGAGAATCAAGTACCAAAGTCTTTGGAGGAGGATGAGTAAGGAGGAGCTCTATAAGTGTAAGCAGCAGTGAGGTATAAAGGGAGCAGCTAGATGAGAGACCTGAGGAAGCCACATGTGAAGGAAGGACTTGTAAAAATGTATGTTCAGTATTAAGAGAAAAACACTCCAAAAGAGTTAAGCTCACAAAATAGAAAATTTGCGAACATTAATTCTCAATTAAAAAAAAATTTAAAGGTGAATTGTAGTAAAACTAGAATCAGTTCATCCTATAAACAGTGGGTTTATGTTTTTTTCTTAGTTAGCAATTTATTTTATTATTACTCTTTTTTTTTTTTTCCATAGCATGCATGTAGTCAGGAGAGAGACAGGGAAAGTGAGAAATCACACCCCCCTCAGCCCCCTGAGGAATGACCATGGTGCAGTCTCTTCGCCATTCTCCTCTCAGTATTTTGGGCACGCACGTACACATTCATTGTTTTTTTCAGCTGCCAAGTCTGAGACCCCCAATCACAGGCATGTAGGATTCGGCGCCTTAACCACCATGCCACCTGCTGGCCTAGCAGTTTATTTTAATTAATGTGTAAAAAGCATTTAGTTAAATGATCACTATTGGGATTATTCCCTGAAATTAATAATTAGAGTTCCTTGTATCCTTGTCAAGATGAAGTGGTGAACATAAAACCAGAACAACCTAATTTTGACTTGCAGCTAAGTTAGGAGCCTTCATTTCAAAGAACAGGTTCAGGTGCTACAGCTCATAGGATCATTTCTTCCCTAGGGGATTACTATGATTATCACATTTGAAGTAGAGTTTCAGAACACTTCAAAACTAATTAATTCTAAAGACAGATCATTTGTTTCTATTTTTCCTCTTATGGTTAGTAGTAGTTTAATTTTGAATGTTCTGGATCTGCGAATTAACCTATTGCTGTTTCTGCTGTAGGCTCTCCGGTACTTGGCAGAATGCCGGGCAAACAGAGAAAAGATGAAAGGCGAACTGGGTATGATGTTGAGCTTGCAAAATGTCATACAGAAGTAAGTACAGTAGATAGTGGGTCCTAATGCAGTCGAGAAATGGATCTCGTTAAATGTCAACTATTATATATAATCTTACCAAGGTTTTAATTGTAATGTAAAGTCATACATTTGTAGGTTATAGATCTAAAAATGCTTTATGGTTAATAAACATGGTTTGATGGTTAATCTCTGATTATTCCTCACTCTTTATATTAGTTCTTTTTCTTTTTTGTGAGGGTTGTCTTCCTAGCTGGTTATTATGCAGTGAGACCACAGTCCAGTTTTGGGGAATCAACTGCTGAGGCACTTGACATTCGGGCTTTTTTTTTTTTTTTTTTTTTTTTTGTTAACTAGAGGGTATGTGTGCTCATGAAAGGGAGTAGGGGATGAGACAGTATCCCTCATGGGACATGGTTACGCTGAAATCTTTCCTCCTCCATTTCTCCCTCCTGTCATGATTTTGGGAACACACGCACACGTACCTGGCATGCAGCTGCCAGAGCTGTGGTTGGAACTACAGTTGGCTATGTGGGATTGGCTCCCTAAATCACCAAGTATTAGGCTGACCCTTAGTAATGGTTCATACCAAAGGGCTCGGATTTTATTTAAAATGTTGGCAATATTCATATGAATAAATTTTTTTTAATTTTATTAAAAAGTTTTTTGCTATATGGTATGCATACTTGCTGGAGACAGAGGCAGAGAGAGAAACTGAGAGAGCACCTCCTAGAGGGGATGGATATGCCACAGTCCGTTCTCCTCCATTCTCTGAGTATTTTGGGCTTGTGTGCACATGTGTCCTGTGTGTTTTTTAAGCCACCAGGTCCAGTACTCAGACTACACAGTTGACCATGTTTCAGCTGCCTTAACATCCAGGCCATCTGCTGGCCCATGTACGAATTTTTTAAAAAGGAAAAAACTCGTATATCAAGTGAAGTTTTGGAAAGTAAGTGTGAATTGATAGGCTATCAGAGCAACATAGGTGATTATCACATTTGACAGTAATGTAGTATTATTGTATGGTGCAAAGTTGTTTTGTTATCCTAGTTTTTATTCAAAAGAACTTTCCTTCATCAGAGTCATGGCAATTAAAAAGACTTATCGTGATTTTCATAAGTCTTATTGAGAGGTTTCTTGGGGACTTAGAGCCATTTAACTTAATTTTTAACAAATGGGTGTTTTTTAATTAATCCTTTCATTTTAATTTTTCATATACATTTTCTCATTTTGTTATCTACAACTTTTTGAGGTAAGCTTAACAGATACTAGCTTTGTTTTATAAATGAGGGAAATACAGAGAGACCAAATACTTATCTGGAGTCCTGCAGCTGTGCTGCCTCTGGGACTGTTGGTTCTGTTCCTGAGGCCTTGCTGATTTCCTTGTATTGATAGAAGGCTAAAAACTGAAGGTGAAGGGTTTTGATGTTTCTGCTGTGTCTGGCAACAAAAATGGCTATGGTTTCCAAGGTATTACTTGGTTTATTTTGTGTTCAGATCTTAAATGGGACATGACTGCCTTTAAAAGTATAATAAGTAACCATTTAGTTTATTTCATTTAAAACTTACCTTACAATTTCTTACCCTTGAACAAGGACAATAGTCCTTCTATTCATATAATTTTCAAGCATTATAAATTAGATTATACACAGGGAGAATCATCTAAACTGACATACAAGGCAGTGTGTATCTTTTTTGTTAGTGTTCTTGGTTCTAAATAAATAGTTTTGATATTGGGACCAGCAGTTAGCATAATGGCTATGTCGCTGAACTCCTATGTAGTTGATTCCCATGTAGTTGAGTCCCCGAACCAGTGGCTTAAACTCAAGCTGGGCATATGTGCGAGTGTGCCCAAGATCCCGAGAGAACAGAGGAGAACAGATTGTGGCGTGGCCATCCCCCCTGGGGGGTGATTTGTCACTTTCTGTCTCTCTGTCTGTCTGGCGAACGCATGCTCCCTATAGCAAAAATCTCTCCAAAGGAAAAAAAAAAGAAAAAAAATAGTTTTAATATTTTATTAATCTCATTTTTTAAAGAGATTTTTTTAAGGGTTTAATTTATTTTATTTTATATACAAATAGCCAGCATGATTTCTTTCACTGGGTGGATATCTTGGACAATCCAGTCAAGGAAGATCATTTAGTACAACTTGAAGCCTATGTCGTTCGCATACTGACAGAAACACTGATGGCACATGTTATGTTAACGCTGTATTTCCGGATCAGACGTTGCCGGTTCCAGCACACGCGACAAGAGCGAGAGCCCTGGCCGAATTTTCACGGGTGGCTCCAGTAGAGCTGCTGATGACCCATCCTGCTTTCAGCGGGGCAATGAAGCAAAAGGGCTTTTTAAAAGAGATTTTTGCTATAGGGTACTTATACTCACCAGAGAGACAGAAATCACTACCCCAGGGTAATGGCCATGCCGCAGTCCCTTCTCCTCCATTCTCCTCTTAGGATTTTGGACATACATGCACATGCACCTGGCGTGAGTTTTAAGCCGCCAGGTCCAGGACTCAAACCACAGTTGACTACATGGAAGTATAGTGATGTAACCTTTACGCCATCTGCTGGTCTCATTAATCTCACTTTTTTATACATTATTTTAATAATGGACTGTCAGAAAAGTTGTGATGTATTTTTTTCTATGTTTTCCTATGCAAAAATGTGTCATAACTTTTCCAACAACCCAATATTTGTTTTTATTTGGTCAGCCATCAGATAAGGTAGTTCTGTGGTATCTTGATCTTTGATAATGACGAGATAAAAATGGGAGGGTATTTTTGATTTTATTCAAATGATCAATTTGAAATCAATAACAGAAAATACTGACCAGTACAAATTGTGTTAATCATTGCGTATGGTTTGGGGTTAATTCTATTAATAGCAGAAACTGGATTCTAGTTCTGACTTGAGAAGAGTAACCTTTTGATGCTCAGTTTCCTTGTCTATAAACCTGCAATAGCACAGGCAGTGCTATTGAGTATCCAGTGGAGTAATATGTGTAGAAATGCCTTGCAAATTCTAAGGTGTTATCTAAAATATGTAGGATCGCAGCATTATTTTACACAACATGCTTTAATGTCCTATAGTTAACTCTATTTTTAATGCTTCTGCAGGGCTCTTTTATTCACATGATATGCTTAAAATTGTGTATTCCTTTTACAGGGTTAGTTATTGAAGTTGAAAATAAGTGGTAAAAATAAAATAAAAAGATATGGAAAATTAGATGAATAATGTTGAAATGTTAAGTTTTTTCTTTTTTTAAAAGAATTATTTCATTTAACTTTATTTATTTATTTATTTATTTTAATTTGACCAGAGAGGAAGAAAAAAGAGAGAGAGAGAAAGTGAGAAAGAAAACTATCAGGTCCGGGACTCGAACCGTGGTCAGCCATGTGGGAGTCTTGCATCCTTTAGCACCCTGCCACCTGCTGGCCCCTCAATTATGAAATATATCTTAACATTTCAACATTATTCATCTAATTTATCCTATCTTTTTATTTTATTTTTACCACTTGTTTTCAACTTCAACAACTAAACCTGCTAAAGGAATACACAATTTTAAGTTTATCATGTGAATTAAACAGCCCTGCAGAAGCATTAAAAATAAAGTAAGTTTTAGAGATACCATAAATTTAACCTATAAAACAACTAATTAACTTGATTGCCTCAAGGATGTGGTTATGTATGTCTGCATATGTATTGTGAATATATGTAAGTGAGAGAGACTTCTGTAAAATAGTGAGGAGACTGCTTATACCTTTGTAGGAGAAGTGGTGTCGGTTCAGGTTATTATGATGGCATAATATCCTGGAAGGAGATTCTGGGATGGAATCAGACATGAAAGGTTTATTGTCCCTAAAGAGGTATATTATCAGTTTGTCTGTGATCTGGAAAAGGTCTGTAAAGATAAAGGGGGATGAAGCCCTTTGGTCTTTAGACTAGAGCACAGATCTGACAGCCAGCCAGTAGAGAGCTCCAACAAAGTTTGCTCTTCAAAGGAGCATGGCATTGATCGGAAATGACCAGGTCCTAGAGCCCCTACTGCTCAGTCATTGGCTGGGGACTGCCTGGGAGAATGTCCTCTCTGGTTTGTCTCTTGGGTATGTGATGGATGCAAAGCCACCTCTACTGGCATCTCTACCACTGCAGCAGAGGGGCACAAGTTCCTTGACTTCTTTCTTCTCAAATATTTTTCCTTTATTCACGATAAGACTGCATGTGCACACACATGAGAGAGAGAGAGAGAGAGAGGAGCACCCTCCATTAGGTCTGGTCACATCACGATCCCTTTTCCTCAGCTCATTGGATCTCGGGCACTTGTGCTCATGTTTAATATGTTTCTTAATTCAAATAGTGTTCATTTTTTAGAACAATATGGTGATGGCTGCTTACTCCTCTAATGTTAAAATAGGTGTACACGCATGGCATACTTGATTATAATTTGGTTCTATAGCCCTCTTAAAAGTGGAGATAATGATATAACAATTTTTTTATGTAAATTCTGTATCTTTTTTGGCTGCTGGAGATCTCAGATTTGAAGGTTGCTTCTCAGGCGTTATAAAATTGCTTTTGAGGCCAGCAGGTGACATGATGGTTAAGGTATCGGACTCGCACAGTTTGAGTCCCGGACCTGGCAGCTAGAAATATACGCCAGGTGTGTGTACGTGTGTGCCCAAAATCCTGAGAGGAGAACAGAGAAGGGGTTGTGGTGTGAACGACACCCCAGGGGGGTGATTTCTCACTTTCCCTCTGTTTTTCTCTTGCAGATACATGCACCCGATGGCAAATACATTTTTAAAAATTTAAAAAATAGGCTGTTCTGACATTTTTATTACAATGCTTCACATACTTGTTTCTTTTGGGTACCTCTATTAAAATTTCTTAAAAATCAGGGCCATCAGATGGCATAGCAGTTACATTGTTGGACTTCCACATGGCCAACCACAGTTCCAGTCCCAGACCCCATGGCTTGAAACTCACGCCAGGTTGGCGTGCACGCATGCCCAAGATCCCGGG